CACTGGCGAATGTGGGGGCGCCATGCACTTTCAGGCCAAGTGGATGTGATATTCATGTTCGGGAGGTCGAACTACCCCTAAAACCTGAATTTCAGCCAAACCCCGTAGAAAAAAGTCGATCAAGAGAGCGCGTCCCTGATTTCACAAAACTGGGGTAATAATAGTTGAATAGTATCCGGATTTCAATAAGCTGCTGGGCAGCAGTGAGGGCATTCTACTTGTTCTCACTGATCATTACAGGTGTCTCATGAGGGGACTTGTGAACTCTTGAAAGCTATGCAATATCGCAAGCTTTGTTAACTTTTGGCACGGTTCTACAGATCTTACCCACGTTAAACGTGTAATCCAACAAGAACTAGCAAGGAAATTGGCTAAAGTGCAAAATGCCCTCTCTAAGCCATACAGCGCCAAACTGGCGTAACTGTACCTAGTCAAATGTTCATAAAATACGGCATTCAAATTGCTATCATCCATCATTGGTCCACGGTCGATCTGCGAAGCTGGAAAACAAGAAGAATTCAGAAAGGTGAGTCGAGCGAGATTGAAGATAGTAGGCACAGGCTGGGGGCGGGCGGTTACTGGCAACGTCATTGGTGGAAGGGCTGCGAGAGGGCGTTTGGCCACACCCCACTCAGCCCTTCCACCAATGACGTTGGCAGTAATCGCCCGCCCCCAGCCACCGTGCCCACTGCCTTCACGTATGCAAAGTTACTTTCATGCAAGTAAAACTGACGGCAAAAAAAAACAAGACAAAAAGGATTTCTGACTGCACTTCAGCTAGGACAACAAAACCATACCAAGAGTGGTATTAGATGCGTCACTTCGCTTCGTATTGTAATCTCGCTCCCAGAATTTCACAGGTCGAACATACGAGGTCGTAAAGAAGGAGGAACCTCAAAATACCAATTCTATTTCTACTGAAGTAAGTCAGGATCAAATAATGCTGACTTACCTAAGAAAGGATTGAGCGGGGCACTTATAAGGCTCGATATTACGGTCTGGGTCCATATCAACGCAGAATGGGGTATAGAAAACGGCTGAAATGGGCAGTATAATACAGACTCAACTGCTTAGTCCACGATAATGGGGTAAGTGAGGAAATGGGCGGGAACATATACATATTGAGCTTTCTCCATTAGTAGACGTCATTTTGCTGCTGGACTCGAATGAGGGTGCATCATTGAAGATGGCACAACGGTTCATGGTCTCCGCCCATTTTCCCACCACCCGATTATCGCGGAATGCACCTTCATGCCTTTAGTTTATGCACATACCTGAGCAAAAGCATGGAATGCTGATCCCCAACTTATCTGCCATGGAGCAACATATGCCATCACAAAACTCATTTTAAGATACAGTTCAAGCCACTTTGGATAGAAAACCATGAGAATATAAAGAATCAGAGGAAACAATGTTGCTGGGGACATCTGAAATTGTTACTGTAAGTGTATGACAACTTCTAATCTCCCAAGTTACCTGGTATTACACCGTTCTGAAAACTCACCTGATCAGGTAGCCCAAATGGTGAACCAGTTTTCCAGTCGAATCGAGTTACAGTAAATGCCAAGGCTAATGGTACATAAATCAGCTGTGGATGCGAGAATCCGCCACGCAGAAATCGTAGAATAATCAGAGGAGCTATTATAGTCGACATGGGCAGTAACCATCCACATTCCGTTAGTACAGCCATGGCTACCAGGGGATACAACTAAATCGATAACATAATGAATTTTCGAACCACTAAATAAAGCATTGGAAGATTTTAAAATAGAAAATCTGGGCTCCTTTGGCTTGGAAGGGGCCGTTTGCAATTCCGCGATTTCCTTTTGTTAGTTTATCTTAACTGATAGGTTGTACTTTGGCAAGACTCGTAAACTCATGTGAAACAGCGAAACCACGCAAGAGCGCCACTTTTTCCTCATCAGGAGTTTATAAGTCTTCACACGGTGGCCTGCACTAATTTAGCTGACATAATTCACTGAGTCCATCATGCAGAACTTTTCAATTGCTCAGTACCAGT